GGCTAGTCTGCCAGGGAGGAGTTGGAGAAAGAGGGGTGGGGGGGAGGGCTAGATGGCCAGTCAGCCCTGATGTGTCTCAGGTGTAAGACATCGCAGTCGTTATTTGTTTTGTGTGTGTTTTGGGGAGCTTACGGTTTGCGTCTTGGGGTGGAGAGCAGGTTGCGTCCGCGCTTTTTCCTCTTGTAGCGGTGGGGGTGGGTTGGGGGGAAAGGTTAATTTCAAGCTGAGTTGCAGGAAATGTTGATGGTGAGATGGTTTGTGTGTGGGGAGGGGGGGGGTTGAGTCTTCCTCTGGCATCCTCCTCCTCCTCTGCGGTTTGGGAATGAGGTCAGTGTGGGGAAGCCAAGCTATAGGAAAGTGAGTTGATGATTGACTAAGACCTTTCACCCTTTCTTTCTTTCTTTCTTTCTTTCTTTCTTTCTCCCCCATCCACAACACTTTGCTGCTTTTCATGCAGTTTCTGGTTCTCTTCCACCCGTGCACCTACCTGGACTTGCAACAGCCATTCATCCCTCTCCCCTTTTTCCCAAACTTGAAAACTGGGAGCTCTTTTTCAGACTGCAAACACATCCACAGTCTTTTCTCTTTTCGACTTGGCCTTCCTATTTCATGTTGGGCTGCAAACTGTCAGTGAGGAAGGGGAGAACTCAATGCGGTTTAACCATTTTGACACTGCTGGCATTCTTATTTTGAACAGCTATTTATGGCAATCATCATCTCATTTTCAATTTCTGCTCCAAGTTCTACCCCGAGTTGTTGTGGGTTTTTTTAAGGGCAATTCTCTCTCTCTCTCTCCAACTCTAACCAATCCCTTGTAACATTTCTCTCCTAATCGGAGAGATCTGATTATTGCTTAAATTTTATAATAAAAGCACCCACCTGGATCCCTCCCAGCCTTCAAAAAGTAGAAATCCCTTCCCTCCCTGTGTGTGCGGCCTGCTTGCTGTTTGCTTTGTGGGTGAGCAAAAGGCGCTCTGTATATGCTCAGAGGCTTCATCCTTCGGATGCTTGGCAGTTTAGCTCTGGTGTAAAATAAAAAAAGTGACGTTGGGCTGAGCTTTGGGTAAACCCTGGTCACCCTGTTCCCACCCCCAGCAAAAGGAAAAAGTGTGCTGGGTTTTGGAAGGTTCTCTGTTTCACTGCATTTAGCCTCAGTTATCCTTTCTGTACTTGGTATTGTATTTACAGTACGTTTTAAAAAAAGGAGGACCAGCGCTTTAGGAGGAGGGTGATCTGTATCCCTGGCATTTCCCGGTCGGGTTGGGAATATTCCCTGCCTCCGTATACCTGGAGAGCTGGTCTGACTTCAGCCCCCTCTGCTCCCCCCCCCAAAAAACCATATCTTTGATGGAGTGGGTGCAGATTTATTCCCCCACAGCTGTGCATGTGACTGATGCTTTTTTAATATAAAGGAAAAGGGGGGGTTGTACTGGCACCTCCAGAGTATTCCTGGATGACTTGGCATCAGCGGGGGCAGCCAGGCCTTCCTCCTGGGTTGCATCGATCAGCTTTGCGGCACTTTGCAAGAAGGCAAGTCGCTTTTTAAAAAAACAACCCCAAAACAGATTTATCCACAAGCAGGGAAGAGGCTGCAGGAGGAAAGTGTGTGTGTTTTGTGTGGATAACCCAGCACAGCAGTACGGCTTAAAAATAGAAACGGGTGGTTTAACTGGCGAGGCACTCCCTAGGTCTTTAAAAAAAATAATAATAGAAAACCGCTAACCAGACACAGAAAAATGTGACCATGCGCTTTGCCCTTTCTGAAGGGAAATTGCAAGCAGGGCTGTTGCGGAAGAGAGGGGCGGGGGGGGGCAGGGGAGAGGTTAAACTCCAGGTCTGCCTGGCAAGTTGCACCCTGGCAAAGATTTATTCCTTTTTTTAAAAAAGTGACACAGTGAGGAATTTGGTCAGGAAGGGCAACGTGCCGCAAGAGTTCCTGTCGGATTAAATTCCCCTCGGTATGTTGCACATGCCGGCACATTTTCCAGTTCAGGTTTACCTGTTAATGGAAAAATTGAACGGGGCTATTCACCTGCGCAGGTTCTGTGCTCGTTTGGTGGAGATGGCAAGCAGGGTGATGGGTGCGTGACAATTCTGTGCGTCAAGGATGATGGGTATATATTCATGCGTGTCTTTCAAGAGAGATGGAGTGTTTTTTCCTGTGCATAAGGAGTCATGCTTGACCCAGAAGGCTACTCCCCCCCCTTCTGTCATAGTTCACTGTGTGGCTTTGAGTGAATTCAGTTTGGTCAATCCCTTCTCTAAGGTGCCATGTCATAACCAGGCTGCATTTGTAAGAAACCTATACAGTGGTACCTCGGGTTAAGTACTTAATTCGTTCCAGAGGTCCGTACTTAACCTGAAACTGTTCTTAACCTGAAGCAACACTTTAGCTAATGCAGCCTCCCGCTGCTGCCGGTGCACGATTTCTGTTCTCAACCTGAAGCAAAGTTCTTAACCTGAAGCACTATTTCTGGGTTAGTGGAGTCTGTCACCTGAAGCGTATATAACCCGAGGTACCACTGTACTTTGGAACTCTCTGCCTATTGATACCAGGAAGATACCTTCGCTGTTCTCTTTTTGGTGCCTGCTAAAAATTTTTTGTTTAGATAAGCCTGTCCAGATAGGTATAAAGTTGATGTATATTTTAATCTGCTTTTTAATTTAATGCCGATTTTTAAAAAATGTTCCAGATTGTTGCTTTTTTACTGTTTTCAAGCAATCACTTTTTAATTGTTACTCCCCCACCCCTTCTGTCATAGTTCACTGTGTGGCTTTGAGTGAATTCAGTTTGGTCAATCCCTTCTCTAAGGTGCCATGTCATAACCAAGCTGCGTTTGTAAGAAACCTATACAGTGGTGCTTTTTTACTGTTTTCAAGCAATCACTTTTTAATTGTTTTGTTTATTCTTTTTGTAAACTGCTTCGAGGTTTTTTTGTTTTTGCAAACATGCACAAGGTCTTAGGTTCGATCCCACGCATCGCCAGTTTAAAAAAAGGGACAGAACTTGGTTGGAGGTGATGGCAAAATATTCTTGACTTCCCAACGGCCCAGCAGACAATACTAGGTTAGGAGAACCCATAATTTGGGATGCAGGTGGCCTAGGACTTGCCGATCAGAAGGTCGGCAGTTCGAATCCCCACGACGGGGTGAACTCCCGTTGCTCGGTCCCTGCTCCTGCCAACCTAGCGGTTTGAAAGCACGTCAAAGTGCAAGTAGATAAATAGGTACCGCTCCGGTGGGAAGGTAAACGGCGTTTCCGTGCGCTGTTCTGGTTCGCCAGAAACGGCTTAGTCATGCTGGCCACATGACCCGGAAGCTGTACGCCGGCTCCCACGGCCAATAAAGCGAGATGAGCGCCGCAACCCCAGAGTCGGTCACAACTGGACCTAATGGTCAGGGGTCCCTTTACCTTTACCTTACCCATAATTTGAGCATTGGAGACAAAAAAAAAGTCTTGGTTGGGAAGCACTTCATGAATTTAAATGTTCTATATAAACCACAGTTAATAACCGCCAATTGCGTGAGTGTTTATTATATTGCATTTATATCTGAGGAGCTCAATGTGGCACACATGGCTCTTCCCTCCCCATTTTATTCTCACAACAGCCCTGTGTTTATTAAGGTTTCCAATAAAAAGAACACATCGATAAAAAATAAAAAATAAAAAAAGAAATACACAATTCAAAAGTACACAATACATAATCCAGAAAAAAAACAAAAGACAAAAAAGAAAACAGTTAAAAACAATACCACCTTTTCATCTCCATTTTTAAATTTACTTATTTTCTGGACCTCCTCATACCTCCCTCTTTTGTATTCCAGTTCAAATTGTTTGTCCAGCAATTTCTTTCCCTCTTTTTTAATCCCAATCTTTAATCTTAATATAATATAACATTAAATTTTACCTCTTAAAAACCAAATTTCCATTTCCTTTAACTTTTTTAATCCTAATCCTTAATCTTGATCTATATATAACTTTAAATCCTGTACAGCTGGAAGCCACTTATTTTCAATCCAACATCACTCTAACATTCTTTAATTTTGCAATGTTTCTGCAGATAGTCTTTGAATTTCTTCCAATCTTCCTCCACCGACTCTTCTCCCTGGTCACGGATTCTGCCAGTCATTTCCGCCAGTTCCATATAGTCCATCAGTTTCATCTGCCATTCCTCCAGTGTGGGAAGCTCTTGTGTCTTCCAATACTTTGCGATGAGTATTCTTGCTGCTGTTGTTGCGTACATAAAGAAAGTTCTATCCTTTTTAACACCGTTTGGCCGACTATGCCCAGGAGAAAGGCCTCTGGTTTCTTGAGGAAGGTATATTTAAATACCTTTTTAATTCATTATATATCATTTCCCAGAAAGCCTTAATCTTTGGGCACGTCCACCAAAGGTGAAAAATGTACCTTCAGTTTCTTTACATTTCCAACATTTATTATCGGGCAAATGATAGATTTTTGCAAGCTTGACTGGGGTTATGTACCACCTGTATATCATTTTCATAATATTCTCTCTTAGGGCATTACATGCCGTAAATTTCATACCTGTGGTCCATAACTGTTCCCAGTCAGCGAACATAATGTTGTGTCCAACGTCTTGTGCCCATTTAATCATAGCAGATTTTACCGTTTCATCCTGAGTGTTCCATTTTAGCAGCAAGTTATACATTCTTGACAAATTCTTAGTTTTGGGTTCTAACAGTTCAGTTTCTAATTTTGATTTTTCCACCTGGAAGCCAATTTTCTTGTCCAATTTAAATGCCTCCATTATCTGAAAACAGCCCTGTGAGGTAGAATCATAGAATCATAGAGTTGGAAGAGACCACAAGGGCCATCGAGTCCAACCCCCTGCCAAGCAGGAAACACCATCAGAGCACTCCTGACATATGGTTGTCAAGCCTCTGCTTAAAGACCTCCAAAGAAGGAGACTCCACCACACTCCTTGGCAGCAAGTTAGACCGAGAGACAGCCATTGGCCCACAGCCACCCACTGAGCTTATGACTGAGTGGGGATTTGAACCCTGATCTCCCAGATTCCTAGTCCGACATTCTAACCACTGCACCACACTGGCTTCCTAGAGTCCTTCTGCTATGGGGCAGCTCTATAAATTCAGTAGGTCAATAAATAAATATGGGGAAAGCAAAATGTCACTTGCAGAGAAGGATCTGAAATATTTCCCCCGAAGCTTGAATTTGTTCTGCTCTGGATTGTTTCATTGGGTGTTTTAACGTGTTGTTGAATTATGGTGCTGGAGGAGACTCTTGAGAGTCACATGGACTGCAAGAAGAACAAACCTATCCATTCTGAAGGAAATCAGCCCTGAGTGCTCACTGGAAGGACAGATCCTGAAGCTGAGGCTCCAATACTTTGGCCACCTCAGGAGAAGAGAAGACTCCTGGCAGAGACCCTGATGTTGGGAAAGATGGAGGGCACAAGGAGAAGGGGACGACAGAGGACGAGATGGTTGGACAGTGTTCTCGAAGCTACCAGCATGAGTCTGACCAAACTGCAGGAGGCAGTGGAAGACAGGAGTGCCTGGCGTGCTCTGGTCCATGGGGTCACGAAGAGTCGGACATGACTAAACAACTAAACAAGAATGTTGAGATTCCTGATCCCCTTTAAAATATAAAGCGGTAAACAAATAAATAAATATAATAAATGCCATTGAAAAAGAAAAGAAAAGAAAAGTGCCTTACGTTGCAGTGACCATAACCCAGGTTTAAAGTGTCATCTGAATTTCTAACACTGGGAATGGGACAGAAGCATTATAACCAGGAAAACTAGCGTAAGATTCCCCATGTCTGAATGCAACCCCAGATCGGAATAGGTAAGGTAATTACCGTATTTTTTGCTCTATAAGACGCACCAGACCACAAGACGCACCTAGTTTTTGGAGGAGGAAAACAAGAAAAACAATATTCCGAATCTCAGAAGCCAGAACAGCAAGAGGGATCGCTGCGCAGTGAAAGCAGCAATCCCTCTTGCTGTTCTGGCTTCTGGGATAGCTGCACAGCCTGCATTCGCTCCATAAGACGCACACACATTTCTCCTTACTTTTTAGGAGGGAAAAAGTAAGTCTTATAGAGCAAAAAATACGGTATTTTTATCGAAGAGCATCTGTGAGTGAACCACCCCTGCCCCTGGCGGGGGTGCCTCTGTCACCTCGCCTCTGATGGTTTCTTATGTTTTAAACTGGACCCAGGCAGTCAAATAGAGGACTGCCTTCTGTAATGTAGGACGCGCTGCTGTGCTGTTGTCAACCAGGTGCTGTTCTGGCTGGGACTGACGGGAGTTGTAGTTTGAGAACTACAGAGAGCACCCAGTGGGCAAAGTCGGCAACAGTTCTACTCATTGCACTCTGCTGCTTTCAGAGCAAGAATTACTCAGACAGAATCGGAAAGTGTCTGTTTTAAGGGTTATGTTTTGTTCAAAGGGTTATATTCTGTCTGCTTGGGAGATGGATGAGGGTTTCTGTTTAAGATGAACCCGACTTGATTTATGGACAGCCTCCTCAGTCCGCTGTCTGAAGCCTTCACACCGCAAGCCAATAATTCGTTTGTCTGCTTGTTTTGTTAATTAGCTGGGTTTTTTATTTTATTCCAAATTTCCCCATGCTGCTTTCAACGAAAACAACGATGTAACTGCTGCAAAATGTAATCTAAATGGTCTTGTAAAAATTAAAAGCATTCAGCTGTATTAAAAACCAGCTCTCAAGAAAAAAAGGAAGATTTTACACACAAAAAACACCACCCCGCAGAAGCAAGACTCAGTTTGGAATAAAAGCTTCTTCAGCCCTCTAACAAGTGGGAGAGAAGAGGGGTGTGCTGGCTTATCTATATCTGCCATCTCCTGCTATTTAAAGTTAAGGTGAAAAACACAGTCATCAACTGTGATGCAGCAGCAAAAAAAGCTCATGCTATTCCGGGCTGCATCAACGGAAGTATAGTGTCCAGATCAAGGGAAGTCACAGTACCGCTCTATTCCGCGTTGGGCAGACCACACCTGGAATACTGTGTGCAATTCTGTGCACCACAATTTAAGAAGGATGTTGATCAAGGGTCTGGAAGCCAAGCCTGATGAGGAATGGTTGAAGGAGTTGGGGATGTTTAACCTGGAAAAGAGGAGACGGAGAGGAGATAGGCTAGCCATCTTCAAATATCTCAAGGGCTATCGCATGGAAGATGGAGCAAGCTTGTTTTCTCCTGCCCTGGAGGGCATGGCCCAAACCAATGGATTCAGATGACAAGAAAGGAGGTTCCAACTGAACATTAGGAAGAGCTTTCTGACACTAAGAGCTGTTTGGCAGTGGAACGGACGCCGTCGGAAGGTAGTGGACTTGGAGGTTTTTAAATTGAGGTGGTATGGGCTACCTGTCAAGCATTTTCTGGCTGGGATTTCTTCATAGCAGTGGGTTGGGCTAGATGGCCTTTGGAGCCCCTTCAAGCCGTATGAGTCTGTAGCCAGATTCGGTTGTCTGCACCGCAGTACCTCAAGGACCGCTTCTTTCCATATGAACCTACCCAGACCCTGAGATCATCTTCTGAAGCCCTTCTTCGTGTGCCTCTTCCTCAAGAGGTCCAGAGGGTGACAACACGAGAACAGGGCCTTTTCTGCAGTGGCTCCCCATCTGTGGAATGCTCTCCCCAGGGAAGTTCGCCTGGCTACTTCATTATACAGCTTTAGGCGCCAGGCAAAACCGTTCCTTTTTAACCAGGCTTTGGTTGATCTTATTGACATCCTATGCCCTTTTAAAATGTGTTGTTTGTTTTGGGGAGGGGGGGTTATTGTTTTTATTCTATTTTGTGGTTTTATGTTTTGATTTTATTCTGTGAACCACCCATAGACCTGGTATAGGGCAGTATATAAATTCAACAGCAACAGACGAACCTTTTCGTTCTGATTCATCAGGGCTTCTCTGATGTTCTTAAGAGCTCCTGAGCAGCCTGTCACAAGAGAGAGCTTCTAGATGGGGTGAACCTCAGCCCCCTATTTCACAGAATGCTAAGAGTTGGAAGGGGTCCCAGGGGTCATCTAGTTCAACCCCTTGCAATGCAGAAATATTTTGCCCAATGTGGAGCTTGAAGTCATCACCCTGAGCTTAAGAGTCTCATGTTCTACCGACTAATGGGGTTTATATACTGCTTAATCATCAAAAAACCCTACATAAAACATTATCAAAGTGACCAATAATCCCCTCTACCTTGGAAATAAAATTGGCCATTTTAAATATAGACATTATAAAACAAAACGACATATTGGATTGTGTGTCAAAATGGCATGTCTGGGGTGGCTTGTTTAATTGAACAAAGAAAGTTTTTGCCTGGTGTTTTTGCCTAATATCAATGGGCAGGGAGTTCCAAAGACTCGGTTCCTTGCTAGTGTGGGAGGATCATTATGTTGCATTTGCAAATATAGCCTCCTTTGTGAGATTCCTCTCACCGCTTGCACTTCAAGCTGTTTCTCTCCCTCTCCCCACACAGCCCCCTTTTTAATCCAGCGGTGAATCACTGCAAACATTCCCTATATCCAGTCTGTGCAGTGTGCTAGCTCTCACAGTGAGGGGGAACAGGGGAGAGAGAACACAAATTCTCCCTTAAACTGCTTTTCCACGTCTGATCTCATTTCCCTCTCTCCTTGTTTGGCCTGCACCCAGTTACCTGGCGCTTTAGCGCGGGAAGGCGGCTGAGGATGACCTCCGTTTTTTGTTATCTAGCGCCTAGAGTGACGGCCGGTGATACCGATCCAAGTCCGAGGTGTATTCTGAAACCGCTTTGGCCGGCACAAGCCTTTCCTGATAAGGCACAGGTTTTGAATTCCACTTATTTTCCGGGGCCGAAAAAGTAGACGCCTGCCATCATATCTGGGTCACATGGAACGTTTTCTGTGTGATTTTAATCTAGATACTGGGCTGAGTAGACAGACGCTGAGTTTCTATTGTTAAGGGCTAGCCTGTTCCTTCTCTTTCCTTGCGCCTTCCGACGGCAGATGTAGAATATTATGATTATTTTTTTATTTCTTGCCTTGCTGGCCTGTCCCTTCTGCAAGGACCTCGAGGCTGGGCACGTACCGAGCTCATTTGATCCTCCCAATCAGATTCGCAAGGTTGGTTAGGCTGAGAGAGGATTTAAAGTACTATTACACCACTTTAATGGAAATGGCTTCTCCCAAAGCATCCTGGGAACTGTAATAGGTTAACAGGTGCTGAGATCTGTTAGGTGTGGACAGGTACACTGTATTGAGCTAGGTCGGGGTGCCCAAACTTTTTTCAAAGAGGGCCAGATTTGATGAAGTGAACATGCGTGAGGGCTGACCAAAGTTGCTGAGCTTTTTTTTAGGATTTTACCTCAGGACGTATACTGCCATGGGGGCCAGATTAAATCGACTGGTGGGCAGGATTAGGCCCCCGAAACGGACTTTGGACATGCCTGAGCTAGGTAAACCCATAGTCTCATGCAGTCTGAGGCATCTTCCTATACCCTTCACCAAAAGTGCTAGAAATTATCCAGGCGCCAGGAGCATTTTGCAGCTGGCGTGGGCCCAATTGTGACCACATTGGAGATTTCTGGGTGCCAGGCTGGTTACTAGGGGAAGCAAAATGGCTCTCCGAGAAGGACCTGAAATGGTTTCCACGAGGCTAGCGTTTGTCCTGTTCTGGATTGTTTTACTTGATGTTTTGATGTGCTTTGAGATTTGTTCTTTAAAACATAAAGCAGTATAGAAATGAAATTATTAATGATAATTATAATAAACCACTGCAAGAAAATAAGAGGCAACTAGACATTCTGTTGCGGGAACCCATAAGCTAGGCCAGTTGGCGATTAGATTATACAGTTGTACCTCGGGTTACATATGCTTCAGGTTACATACGCTTCAGGTTACAGACTCCGCTAACCCAGAAATAGTACCTCGGGTTAAGAACTTTGCTTCAGGATGAGAACAGAAATCATGCTCTGGCGGCGCGGCAGCAGCGGGAGGCCCCATTAGCTAAAGTGGTGCTTCAGGTTAAGAACAGTTTCAGGTTAAGAACGGATCTCCGGAACCTCCGGTACATAACCAGAGGTACCACTGTAT